GAATTCCCCAGCCAACCCATGCTGGCTGGGGGATTTTGGGGGTTTAAGTCCACGCATCTTAAAGTTGCCAAGGTTGAGAAACACTGCTCTACAGGGTCAGCTTTCTACCCCAAAAACCAGTGATAAATCACATATCCACATGTGATTGAACCATAAAACCATCATTATACAATGCACCCAATGTTCTGTGCTTCCTTGGCAAATTAAACCAACATCAGAGCACAATCTTTACATGACATGCCTGCCTGCATTCATGTACTCAACCCAATTTTGTGAGTTGGTATTACACAGCAAAGAATAAATGGAAATCCACTGGTTGGGTGCACGTGAGACGTAAAATATTTGGTTACTGGATTTGTGGTTTGGTGTGTCATGAAGACAACAATGTACTTTGGTACCATGTTGATGAACCCAATCAGTGTAGCTTGTAGATCATAGTTTAGTGCACTCTGTGAAGGCAGCCAATTCCGGCATTCAATGAACTATAGTTTTTTCACATTTTATTTCATGTTTTTTTTAAAAGAAAAACACAAAAATACAAAAAATGAACTAATTTCAAAAAACAGAAATGACAGTTAACAGTAACAAGCAAAGCAAGCATGAACAAGCCACAGTTATCTATCAAATTGAACAATATATGAACATTCAGATTTTTAAACAAGATGTCAAATATAATGAAATCTGTGCCAAAGGGAAACATGGCGCATCATTTTTTAATTAGTGGGAAAATGCCTTTTTAGTAGAAAAAATTAACCATAGGTAAAAAACCAAAAACCAGCTACTGTCAGAGATGACTTATCAGGGCTAGAAACCTGGTCCTCTCCAGATACTTGGATTACGATTCCCACAATTTCTTCACATTGGCCATGCTGGCTAGGAACAATGGGAGATGAAGTCCAACCTTTTTGGAAGGGGCAGAGTCACCTTGTCTTGCTCCGCTGTAACAGCAAACGTCTACATAAAGTAGCGGGTCTCTTGTATATTTGCACACCTGCCGTTTAAGTGTCCTGGGTCAGTCTCTTCCTCGGGACTCCGGTGAGGAGTCAGCAGACAAGCTCTCCCTGTTGGACTCTCAGGAGGCTGAGGAAGAAGTGGCCACAGAAGCACTTCAGCCTCACAGCTCATCTCCAGCTCTCAGCCAGCATCCAGCTGAACCTACTCAGCCCCTCAGGGCTCCAGAATCACCTGTGGGGAGATGCAGGCATCGGCTGAGGGCTGAGTTAAAGGAGAGGTGACGTAGTGGTGGCTTATGGCACGCAGACAGCTGACACAGGACGCTGAGTCTTTCCAGGATGCATCTGACAGTCTGCCAGCTGAAGATAA